GCAGGATAATGCGTACATTTCTTACCAAGCATTGCATCCTCCTCCTTTGTTTACCCTTCACATCCCTTCCCAGCCTCCCCCCTCCCCCCCAAAAGTATTTCTTTTTTTTTTTTTGGGTCCGGTAGTGGGGCCTGAACTCTGGTCCTGGGTGCTGTCCCTCAACTCTTCAGCTCAAGGCTAGCGCTCTACTACTTGAGCCACAGCGCCACTTCCGGCTTTTTCTTTTTGCTTATGTGGTGCTGAGGAATCGAACCCAGGGTCTCATGTATGCAAGGCTAGCACTCTACCACTGAGCCACCTTCCCAGCCCCCCCTGTAAGATTCTTATATCCATTTAACTACCAGAAAATTGGAAGTGGCACTATGGCTCAAAGTGGTACAGTGCTAGCCTTGATCAAAAAGAGCTCAGGGACAGAGCCCAAGCCTGGGTTTCAAGCCCCACAACAAACAATAACAAAGAAAATTACTAATGTCTCTCTGAAAGCAAAAGGTTATGCTAATCTCTATAAAAGGAAAGAAAGCTAAAAAAAAAAAAAAAGTAATGTTTCCTCGCAAGGGAAAAAACTCCCTAGAGCATAGAAAGCCATATACAAAATAGACTTTGCATTTCAGAATGGAGATGCCAAACTATAGGTCTTTCTTCTTCTGAGCAACAAAAACATGAATTTTGCATTTTCTTTTTGCTAGTCATTTAAATGATCAGTAGATTTTCTTGTAGTACCATACTGAAATCATACGAACTCAACATTTATCTGGATTAGTTACAATTTAAAAGATACTTTTATGCAAAGTGGCTTTCACTAGATTTGAATAATTGAAGTGACTGCAGAGAGTGAGATGCACCTCTGTTATGATGGCTTTTTGGTCCTTCACCCTTTCAGCTTCTTCTGGGTCCTGTTCCAGGCTGAAGACTTTAGAGAGAGGCACTGGCTTCCCACTTCGGCACAGAACAGCCTGGCATGTGCCAACGTTGGCCACTGTCAAGCTAAAACTACTTGTTGGATCAACAGTGTCAGGGCGAATGTAGCACAGGAGAGCAGAGGAGCCCAGCTTCTGGCCAGCCATTCCCAACTTCCTGTATAGAAAAAAATAAAATGAAAACAGGGTAGCTAGTTTTAGAAGAAAGAAGGTGGTCCATCATGCCCATACTTTACTTGTTTTCTTGCTATGGAATTATGACCTAGCCTCAGCCTTATCAGCAGAAGGACTTGGTCATATGTAGTGATAATAACGAGGATTTGCCTTCATCTCTCAGTTAATGGAGAAAACAGGATTTTAAAAGTGGAACAGGGACAGAGCAGGAGAAATTCTCTCTCCTCCTGTGTGCCTGATCAGACACTTACTTATTTAGGGGTTTTCAAATTTCAGCACATCAGAATCATCTACAGGGCCTGATAACTGTTGGAGCACACAATGATGGGCCCTGCTCCAGAGTTTCTGATTCAGTGGGCAAAGGACTAGCATAATAATCTGCATTTCTAATGATTTCCTAGTGTGCTGAGGATGCTAGTCCTATAGAAGCATTTTGAGAACCACTCAGATTTTAAGTTCCTTGTGGGAAGGATTATGATTCTCCGTATATTTTCGTCATCTGACCAAACATGGAAGAAAACACAAACATATAGTAAATGCCACATAACAGTCTAGTTTCAAATTCTAGACCTGCATTTATTGGCTGTAGATCCTCAGCCAGTTATTTCTCTAAGAAAGTTCTCTGATTAAATATCTATCTGTTTGGCCTACTTTGAATTTATAGGATGAAAAATGTATAGTACAGTTCCTGCCTGGTTCTTAGAAGTGCTTCAGAAACTGAGCTGCCTTCCCAAACCCTTTATTCTAGCCCGTCTACTAAAACAGACTCCTTTCCCAATGCCTTGCTTTGTTTTACTCATATATTTTAAGCCACCCACCTAATGTAGAAGATGTTCCATTAGCTACCAAGAGGTTTTTCAATAGTTTGTATATGGAATTTTTGCCCTAAATTAGCTTAGATTCCTGAGAACATTAATTTGTTAAACCCTTAATAACAAGTATTCTGAAGACATGGCTCTGACCATGTCTTGCTTGCTTGCTTGCTAACCTTTTATCACTAATTTTTGGAGAATTATGTGAATGCTTATTACATTCCTTCCCCAAATATACAAACAAACATATAGATTCACAACCTGTTATACATATTTCTAGGCTTCCCAGATTCTTAGCCACCTTTGGTTCAATAGAGAAGGCACAAGGTTTTTTTTTTGTTTTGTTTTGTTTTTTTGTCAGTGGTGGGGCCTGAACTCAGGGCAGGGGCACTGTCCCTGAGCTCTTCTGCTCAAGGTCAGTGCTCTACCACTTTGAGCCACAGCTCTACTTCTAGTACTTAATTGGAAATAAGAGTTTCATGGGGACTTTTCTGCCCAGGCTTTGAACTATGATCCTCAGATCTTAACCCCCTGCGTAGCTAAGGATTACAGGCATAATACACTGGTGCTCAGCAAAAATTTGAGTTTTTTTTAAGTGTTCTTAGAGTCAGGCTTTAGGTACTTTTCCACAAGTTCTTTAAAGAAACAATGTTCTATACTCCTGTTTGGAAAGAAAAACCACAGAAGAAGGAACAGGGTCTCTTCTTTATCACACAGCTATAAACCATGGCCTCGTATGTAAGAAACTTATTTCTCAAAAGTAGAGCTGAGTTAGGAATGATTCAATCCATCTGCTCACCTGTGAGATACCAAGAAGGTGTTGGACATGAAAACCGTGTCATTTGTAGACTGTTGTACCTCTTCCAAAAGCACATCTGCCATCGTACACTGCAGCAGGCGAGGGAGCTCCTCATTGCGGTCTCCATCAAACATGCCATACACGGCACCCACGCCCTCTGCAAAGTTATCCATAGCAAGGGCAGAAACACAGAGCCTACAAAGTAAGACAAGAACACAATCATCAAAGAAAGCTACTTGTAGAAGCATTCTTTTAACAAGTGTTAATAAATGATGACAAAGCAAAGCGGTAAATCTTAATCTGCACAAGAAAAAAAAAAGTCCTAGATAATGAAGCAGCATCTTAAAGAGCTGACATCCTAAGGAAAGGGGAAGTTAGCCATTAATGGGTAATATTCATGGGTAATACTTATTAGCTTTGTAATACTGTCAAAGGCTAGTTTTCTTGTCATAATGATTAAGGAATTTTTTTGGGGGGGGGTCTGGTCGTGGGGCCTGAACTCTGGGCCTGGACGCTGTCCCTCAGCTCTTCAGCTCAAGGCTAGCGCTCTACCACTTGAGCCACAGCGCCACTTCCGGCTTTTTT